GAACATAGGTGGGCGCGGCGGATGGGGTCGGCCGTTTCAAATACCCGATGCTGTTAAGAGTCGACAAACAGACAAAATTACAGAGAGACAGACACACCAAAATTTTTGCATCGAAGGTCCCCAAGAAAGACTATCGTCTTTAAAAGTGCACCGGAGAAGTTGGAGCGGCTAGCAGTTCCTGCGCGTGGTGCGCAGCTCTTTCAGTACTGTTGGACTGCAGCGCCGCCGCTACGGGGAACGCGGAAGGCATCTGGCGGCGAGGCGTAGTCACGCCACTCAACACTTCTATTACACTCTATCCAAGCAGACAACGTTCGCCGTGCGGAGGAAGCTCCAAAGCTGAGTTATAAACTGCGATCGTCTTCTCTTTCTTAGTAAAAATGTTTTAATCAAAATAAATTATAAGATGTTTTACAAATTGCGAACAACTTTTGTTCCCAGTTTATCAGAAAAGAAATACCTGTGCTGCGTGTTCCAAAGCCAATCAGATCAGCTGAAAACGATGACGTCAATAAGGCAGATCGTGTCGCTTGGTTTGTTGGCGGTTGAAAACGCGTTTGGCCGAGTCGCAGCGATCTGAAAGAATCTCGAGCGAATCGCAGCTTTAAAGCTTTGTAATAAATTACGCAGTTTACGCATAGAGCTCAAGTCGGTCTCTAAATTACCCTTGGGATTCGGTCTACCGGCCCAATGTGTTAGTGAAAAATTGCCAAAATTGTTTCAGGGTCCCTTTATATCAAAATTACGTGAAGACAAAAAAATTTTTAACTGTACAAAACCTTCTCTTTACTGCGCCATAAATAAAAATAGAAATGCCTGAAATAAAACGTAGGCATGCAACAAATCAATGAGAACACATTTTCAAGCAACACTAAACTTTTATAGACTCAATGCATAATCGGTTAATGCAGCCTTGAATGCTGACGCATCCTCGCTGCAGGCGATGGAGGTAGGAAGGTGGTTCCACTCAGCGCTGGTGTTTGACAATAAGGAGTCTGAACAGAACATTAGTGCCACAAAAAGGAATGGAAATTTTATACTGATTTACAAGACTCGATTATGTGTATGGAGGTCCTGAAATGAGTTCCTGTTTGAATAAATTGTTCTGGTAGATAACGTTTTGAAAACGACACGGACAAAAAGTTTTCTGGGAAGTTTAAAATCTGTTTTTCCAAGCACCGATTTCATTTGTGAAACTTTCGCTGTAAGATAATAGTCTTAATTATTTAAACACGCTGAACAATTTGAAATGATTTTACTATAGTTGTTGATGATTTTGTCCGGAATCCCAAACAGAACAAGCGGATTTGAGCTTGTGTCTAATCAGTGTTTTGTAGTGCAGTAATTTTGAATGTCCCAAAGATTTGGAACATTTTCTGCTTATATGTACTCGAGAGATCTGTTGGTATTGTTTCGGATGTACACAATGTGCGCATGTCAAGAAAGGTTATTGGGGAGCTGAATTCCGAGATATTTATATGTTGTTACGTACTTAAATTTTAAAATGGGTTTCTATGTCTGTGAGAACCATTGCCGGCTGGACAGGATAATAATAATAATAATAATAATAATAATAATAATAATAATAATAATAATAATAATAATAATAATAATAATAATAATAATAATAATAATAATAATAATAATAATAATAATAATAATAATAATATAAAATTATAATAATAGGTACAATAAGAAGAGTAACAAGAAGGAGAAGAAATGTTCACCTTGACGGCATCACCGTGAGAGGGTTTTAGCCATATTAGGGCGTCGTAATTATCATCACCACCAGCTTGGCAGAGCGTGAGTCACGTCCTCGCTTTAAAAGGTAAGCCATTTTGATCCGCTGTTATTGGGAAAAACTTGCATTATCCCTCTTGTGTTAAAGATGGCCGGAAAGCGAAAGCAATGAGTCGATTGTATTGACCGACTCAAACTAATTCTTCACTAAGCATGGTTTTGCAGTGTCTCTTTTTGTTTCCGCTCACGATATGGAGCGCCGGTTGAGCAATGCATCGGACGGCGCCATGCAGCAAAAAACGCAGACGGCCCGGTCCTTGCACCCGCCTAACATTAAAATAAAATTTCAGACCTGCAGCGAAAACACAGCATCGCTGTTAAAGCTCAGCCGTAGCTAAAGGACAGTGGCTGTGCTGCATGTATATTTGTAGATTGAGTAACATGCCTTGCATGAATAATATCATCTGCTGAAACTTTTGGCGAGTGAGTGAACAAACTTTATTTAACCAGCACATTGTAAACTTTTGGTGTCGTTTGTACTTTTGAAAGACGTCCAGACTTTTTATCTAGTCGGATGACGGGCATCTGCCGAGTGAAGGAGGAGTATTGCGGCTGTCAACAAGATACCGTTGTGTCTGCAACAAACATGGTCACGTCAAAGTATGCCAAGAGTAAACGGATACACCACCATAGTTGGTGAAATGCCAGGGAAGGATCGCTCCGAAGGTGTTGCTGTCTATGAAATGCGCGACGCATGTGTGCAAGCCCACTAACTTCAATGAGACTAAGCATATTGTTGATATGTATGTGGTGTGAAAGCTGAAAATGAAATCTTGATCATCACAGTGTATGTTTATTGTAAATCATAAAAAAAAACTCACATCGAGTACTTCATGCGCACAAACTTGCGGGACAGTGACTCACGTCACACCTGTATTCATTGTCGGAGACTTGAATGGGCACATTTTATGTGCCGAGAGAAAATTCTTTCTCCAGCTTCTAATAGAAGGGTTTCTGCTCATACGCTTCATCAACTGAAGTCACCTAACCGCCGTTCACAGACCTGTGCATGGCGGCAAGGTGACCTGGGTAGGTGATGAACATGAGGATAAAGTATTCCTTTTCAAGCTGGAATGCGAAAGTCAGTGTGTATGCTATTGTTATGACAAATCAGTTAGCAATAAGGTTTCAAAATAATTTTCGTAAAGTTGCATTTCGGTTAAAGAAATGCATAATAATGTTTTCGAATCGGCCTTATGAGACATGTAACTTCAGTGGTCATCCGTCGTAGCAGCGTGGAAACGTTTCGCAACTTTTAAAAATTTTTACAATGCTTCTTCATATATTTTTTGTGTCTCCGAGTTAATCATAATGTCTCAGATGTGGTAGTTCTAACTCATCTTTCTACTAGATCCTCAATTGTAGTTGCAGCCCCGTGAAAGTAACTCATGGACCAGCATTTCATGTACTTATTGAAGCCAAACACCAGTTCCATATCGTTCGAGCAGAAGTGGCTGACTGCCGTAAGCAGCTTCACGTTCAGAGACGTAGCTATCACACTCGATGCTTAAAAGCCGTCTTCGAAAGTTAATCAGAAAGGCGGGACAGCGTCACCCATCATTCTTTAAAAATGGTGGAGACCTACTTTACCAAGTATTCACCTATTGACCCCAATGTTGAAGGGTAATAAATAATAATATTAATATGCAAGATTTTACGTCTCAAAACCACCATATGTGTGCTTTCGAGGGACGCCGTAGTGGTGGGCTCAGGAACATTCGACCCTCTCGTGCTCTTTAACGTGCCCTGATATCAAACACTACATCATCCTATGCCATTTCGCCTCTACGGAAATGCGACTGCCGCGGCCTTTGAGTCAGCAGCCTTGCACCCTAGAGCCACTGATCCACCGAAGCAGACGTGTTGGAGTGTATTATCTCATAAATCGATAGTCGCAAAAATTACTCGAGCCCATTTATAACGAGCGGCGCTACGGGTTTTACCGCACACTTTTATCGCTTTCTCTCTTCTCTCGTCCCCGCGAGTGTGCTGCAAAGAAAGAATAGAGAAATGACACTGGCAAAAGCAGTCACGTCAATGGGTGGCATCACCTTGGGTACGCGTCATGAAACGTGATCGTTCTCTCGTGTTACTTTTGTCACTGAGTGTTACTCACTGTGAACTGTTGACAGGCTATAGAGTGCTTGCATCTTGAGGGAAGAAGCGTGCCTGGTCAAAACCGCGCATTATTTGTTCTTACTATTAGCTAATACTGTGGCATGCGAGTTTTTCATAAAAAGACTTACACGAAAGTGCCGCCACTGTCTATGCGAACTTCATAAGGGGGCTGGAAATGACGGTATACGTGTTTGCGAGGCTTGTGTTGTTGGTTGTTGAGCGAGGCTTCGGCTCGAAAGCGCATACAACTGCGTAACAAAAACTTTTCAAAAACACAAAAATTATAGGTGGATCTCATTTATGCCTATTATATTTAAAAATAAAAGCCAACTTACCTTGACGGCACAACAAAACGGCGAAAAAAAAGAAACAGATGACATCAAAGTGTTGGAGGGAACGCTCGCTTTGTCTTCCGCCTTCAGACGTTCGTTGTGTAGTGTGGGAGTTGCACAACCTGGCTTAATTTCGTAGCTCTCGGGCTACCGCTACAGCTGTTTCTTGGCCGCACAGCCGTGGTGCTATTCACGATAAAAGCACAGTATTGACAACAACGTGCAATTTTTCAGAAATGGGGTCTCGAGGGTGAAATCCGCGGAACACCTGTGATTCGTTATTCTAAGACGCGGCCTGTTTTCTTTTTCCGCAGATGGCATCGGCACAGTTCGTTTGCCAGGAATGCAGCATGCAATTCAGCGGGCCCGTGCCTTACTTGGAACACCTGAGGAGCCAGAAACACCAGAAGATGGTTGAAACCCACGGAATGTTAGTTGAGGGGGCCGCGAGTGAAAGCCCGCTGAACTGCAGCCCGGATGTCGAAACAGCAGCTGGTCCTTCTGCCGCGGGGCAACCATCGCCCCAGAGCGCTTCAAAGCCATTGATCTGCAGTTATGTGGTGTGACCACGAACTGCGAGGATGACCTAATTGCTCACGTTCAGGGCAAAGAGCATAATCAGACACTACAGAGGAAAGAAGGCCTGAGGAAGCTCGCCTCTGCTGAGATCTCGCCCATGCCATTGGCCTAGGTCATCGCCGCCTAACGACATCGCTTGCCGTCGGCGACTACGCCGCCGATGTCACCACGATGTCGACCATGTCTGAGCCACAGGATCTGAAGGAAGAGAACGACAAAGGGTTTGACCTCTCCTGCCGAGTCTGCGGCATCGTGCAGTTTAAACACATCGGCTACTTGGTGGAGCATCTAGAGAGCGAAGAGCATCGCGAAAGAAGAGTCAGGTCACTGAATAGTGGAAGCTCGCAACCAAAGCCCAAAACCCCAAGATCAGCATTGAGCCTCTTTAACTATAGATAGTGACCCGAAAAGATGACGTTAACGGTGCATCTAGAAAACGACCGTGGCCGCACTATTGCGACGTTTGTCATCTTTATCCTGGGAGAAGATGGGGACATGCATTTAAGTAATAAATCTTTTTTTTCCGTCTAGGATTGTTTTTTTTCCCATTCTTTATCGTCGTACTCAAAGTAGTCGTAGATAAATTGTTGCGATTAGTTGTGATCGGCCCATATCGGTCTGCCTGCCTGGTTCAGCGGTCGTTGGTCACTTTTTAGCATTCCTTCTAGCGACCAAAGTGAGCCCTCGTTTCGGCAGCCTCTGCTTCCGCACGAGCTTGTACGGCAGCCAGGCTGATAGTTGATGAACCGGTGAGCCGTGATGACGAAGAGCGCGAGGAGGGAACTGAGAAGCAACGCCTCGATGGTGTCTCGTCTCTGACGCATAAAACCTGATTTTGTCCTTTCAGGCTGTTCGTGACAAGAACGCAACGCTCCCCTTCAATTTGTCATCGTTGATCCAGCTCTTCTCAATTCGCGGGGCAGTTCGTCTTGACCAAGCAGGCTTCGTACCTGGCGCATACGTGCTTGTACTGCTCGAAACTATCGCGCAGAGTATTCTTGGCCTGTTAACATCTTTCTTATCCGTGCCGGAAAGCTCCCGCATAGCGTACTCCACTTTCTTCTATGCTGCGTCAAGTTCTCTGCAGTATTTCTCACGATTGGCCTCGTAGTGTTTTTTTTTGGCCCCTAAAGAAAGAGGAGCAGCTCTCCGCGGTCGAGTGCCGGTCTCAGTGCTTATAACATCAATGGCGCCTGCTGCCTCGGCCGTAGGTTTCGTGTTCATGTTGGACCGACTGTTTATACAGCGTGCTCGTCTTGCTCAATGCGCGTGCTTGAAAGCGCGTTTACCCGGGATGGTAATGTGAGCCCACCTTGCGTTGCTTGTGCGTCGGGAGCTCGGACGTCTGTTGCATGCACCATGCTTGTTGATGGCGACTGTCGTGGACAAGTAGAGAAGTACGTTGCGGTTGTGACGAATCCCTCAGGTGGCGTGCGTCGCGTTGGCGTCCTGAAGGCTTTGTTGACGTCCACAAGCTTGCATAGGCTTTCAAAGCATAGAAAGGTTGCCTCTTGTGAAATGATGTCCGAAGCGTGAGCCTTGCCTTTTGCTATTAAGGCCTGGAAGGCAGCGTTCGACGTAGCTGTAACACACCCTTGATCCTGGTAGATAACGACAGGACTTTAATCAAACTTTGATTAATTTAATAAAGAAGTTACAATAATCGGATTCCACTTTTTTGAGTTACATACTTTGGTTACATAGTTCGATTACATGGTCCTAGCTTTAAAAGGCAGTGGCGTGCGACCAGCAGATGCACTCAGCTTAGCTTAACTGAAAATGTTCTTCCCCCACCCTGGTGACGTACCTTCCCAGTTTTGTGAGAGACGATGATCTATGTTAAGGCAGCTGACGGCGAAAGGCACAGTTTCGTTTTGGAACCTAAGGCAGCGTGTGAGCAGCACCTTAATTTAGAAATCTAGCAGGCTATGGCAGCACAGACTCAACATGGTAGAACGACATGTTTTCAGTAAGGGTTGGAGCTGCAGAAATGATATCATGCTTCTGAAAATTAGGTTATCGTTGTTTTGGTTAGCACTTCAGAAGTTTCGCGGCATCAATTTATTTTGATTTGAGTGAAGGCTCTGGTTATTGGGACATGACCGAAAATCAGAAATTCTGAAAATAGTATTTAGAACTTAACTTTTATTTTCGATTTCACTCATGATCATATGCGCGCATGCATGCTAATCGTGACTCCAAAGAAAAAAAAAGCCGATCACACGCCCAGTGGGAATCGAGGATATGGGAAGCACGAATTATCAAGGTTCATATGCCACTTTAAAATTACCACAACATTTCGAGGTGCATAGATGCAGTACTCAGTAAACGTAAGTATAAATGTTTTGCGCACTCAGGTATCTGGATGAGATACAAGTAAGATGTTTAGAGTCATGTAACGACGGCACCACAGTCGTTTGCAATACGAGCCCCAACAGTGCTAGCACTGGTAGGGCTGTAAATTATGCCGTACATGACTTCCATTTGATGATTGTCATGTTTGTACTTGGTGTTTGTGTTCACCGTCCATTCACGTCTCTTGATACCGAATTAGGGATATGTGAAGCTAGTGAAACGGCCGCGAGCACTCTATGAGCGTAGCATGTCGCAATGTTTTTCATCACTCGCATGTCATGATTATATGTTAGGACATGTAATTTCCTTCGCCGTCCTTTCGCATCACGTAATGCCAAATTTGGTATACCCTAAGCTAGCGAAACAGTCGCGAGCGCGTATGAGCGCATCAAGTAGCCATGTTCTTACATGATACGCATGTCACAATTATCATTTTTGCATCAGTAATTTACCTTCGCCATCTATTCGCGACACGTAATACCAAATTTGATAATTGATTGATATGTGGGGTTTAACGTTCCAAAACCACCATATGATTATGAGAGACGCCGTAGTGGAGGGCTCAGAAAATTTCGACCACCTGGGGTTCTTTACGTGCACCCAAATCTGAGCACACGGGCCTACAACATTTCCGCCTTCATCTGAAATGCAGCCGCCGCAGCCGGGATTCGAACCCGCGACCTGCGGGTCAGCAGCCGAGTACCTTAGCCACTAGACCACCGCGGCGAAGCTACCAAATTTGCTATTTGCTAATCTAGTGAAACTGCCAAGAGCACTTCATGAGCGTAGCATGTAGGCATGTTTTACATGACACGCATGTCAGGAAGTCATGTTCGGACATGTGATTACTTTCGTCGTCCGTTTGCATCATTTAAAACCAAATTTGGTATAAGTGAAGCTAGCCAAACGGCCACGAGCGCATCATAAGCATGACATGTATGCATGTTCTTGACATGCATGTCATGATTATCGCGTTTAAATCAGTCATATACCTTCATAATTCCTTCACTTCACGTAATACCAAATTTGGTATATTTGAGGCTAGCTAAACGAACGGAGCACATTATAAGCGTATGACGTGTAGTCATCACTTACATGGCATGAATGTCAAGATTTCCACGTTACGGCCTCCACTTATGTTCGGTATGCAGTCATGTCATGCTATACCAGTTTTGCAATGTGCCATGTGAATGAAACCACCAGAAGAGCAGCAAGACTGTGACATGTAAGTCATAAGATACATGATTTTATGTTATGACTAGTCACTTATGTTCGTCATACACTTATGTTATGCCATAAAAGTGTTACTATATATTCCTTCATCGAAACGGCCAGGAGAGCTAAAAGTTGTAGGCGACAAGATAGATAGATAGATAGATAGATAGATAGATAGATAGATAGATAGATAGATAGATAGATAGACACACTAGAGTCCGCCGAAATCCACTAAGAAAATCATTTCAAAAACGAGACTGCCCCTGTAAACTCTTGACATAAATGCTTTGAATTCTCGGAATAGCTGCGTTTGATTGTTCTGTACGCATCTGCGCATTTATTTTCTTTGAACATTCTAAAAGCGATCGTGCGCGATGCGAGACACCATATGAGCAATTAGGCTGCACTTCATCTTGGGAAATAGCCGTGTGTGATTTTGCCTGTCCTGCTATAGGTGTGAATTAGGCATTCAGAGCACGGCACAGGTCTGATGTCGAATTCTGTATACCGGATGCTGATGTGTCACCACCGAGCTTTTTGTCGTAATGTATTGAAGTCCCTGGTTGAAATCGCTTCGGCGTTTTTGGATGCTAAATCAAAGCCCATAGCGACACATCAAGAAGCCATTTATACATCCTTATATTCAGACTTGCTCAGGTCTCCTTAGGTCCTGGTCTTACCTTATAGTCTGAACGGAAGGTCAAAAGCACGCCACGAATGAAGCCTATAAATGCGCTCGGTGTGACAATCCGGATCATTACATAGTCGTTGCACAGATGTCTTCATACCATTAGAAAGCAAGGCATTGATGCCTTATCTGTAAAAGTGAGTTGATATCACTTCACCGTTAGTGTGCACCATTTTTGCTTCTTTATCAGCTTTCTATGCCACTTTGACTGGGAATCCATCGCAATGCAACGGTATTTACAGATCGAATGCCTCATTCAGCAGTATTCAATATATGTCACGCACCAGAGCACTGTATGTAATGTGTTGCTTCATGTAGTTTCTAATTAGCTGAAGTGCCGGCTTGGAGTCACAAAATAATGTCCATTTCACTGGACTCTGTAGTAAAATGTAGCACGCAGCTTGTCGGACGCCGGTCAGCTCATTGGGCAGTAGATGATGTCTGGTGTACTGTTTTGAAGCGTTGAGTGATTTCCATGTGAGGCCCAGTGAAAGCTGCTGCCGAGGAGGTCTGCGTGACAAAGCCATCTGCAAAATTGTGCACTGTATATTCGCACATATAGGCATTATACGGCAAACCGAAATACTTCAGTGCAGCAGTTGGTATTTTTGGCTGCTTTGTTATTCCTGGGATAGAAAATCGCACGATCGGCTAATGCATCGTCCAGAGTGATATGTCAGAGATAACACGTGGTGCATAGTTTGAAGGCAGCAGATCTCGGTGCGACATATATAGCAGCTTCTGAGTATGCAGCATTGGGTAAAGTCTTAAAAGCGGCTTTCAGTGGGTGGTCTCGATGCCTTCTCAGTGGCTTCAGATGTACTCACAGTGGCTCGCGTTGAAGATAAACACGAGCTGGACATGCACGTGATTCTGCAATTGTGCCCCATGTAGAAGTACATCGGGGTACTCCTAGGCAAAATTTGGGGCACGCACCTGAGCTCCCTCGAGTGTAAGTACAGCACATGTGCAAACACAGGAGAGAACAGGATCACTGTAGTGAAAGTATCCGCCCAACAAAAAGTGCCCAGTATAGCTGCACTAGAGGTGATTTCGATGGTTCCCATAATTTTTCAGACAGCATAAGGCGAATGACCAAGACAAAACTCCTGACACGGGAAGTGGGGCTGCTATGCTGCCCGACGGGGCAAGGTGTTCAATGAATACTACTACAATGTTTCCCGGTCACAACGCCCTTCTTGAGGAGAGCGGTGTCCCGGCGGATGACAACAAGGCCCGACATAGTTGAGCGTGGTGAGCGGTGGCCCTTTTCTTGCTCCATTGCACGAGCGTGTGACCTATAACCCAGCCACTTTCTCTTCTCACATCAAGAAAGGAACACGTTGGCGACATGGCTAAAGTGTCGTGGTAATGCCTAGTCAAACACGTCGACCTGGGCGGGTGTGGGCTAAGTGGAGACATCTTCATCTGGTTTCACGATTTGTTCGTCCCGTAGCAAAATGCTTGTACTGTAATTATTCTAAATGAATGTCAAGTTTATATCTACTGAAGGAAACTTCGATATCTCGCAAGCTGTCTCGACCCTATCTTTGCGAATAACCAGTACCTGAACGACCGGACACAACACTTTAACAACCTATAGAAACAGCTGTTATACATCTCTACAGAGTATATAGCGTTTCGTAATTTGTCATAGAGGGCCCTTTTTTATTTGGCAGATTTCTCAATTATTTGAAGTACTCGGACGGCGATGATTTGTGGTAAAACACTAAGAACAATTCAGATGATCTTTCTGAATATCTCGTACAACATTCTGAAAAGAGGTCAATCTATCTGTATAGTTGTTGAATGAATGGTGAAATAAATCACGTCGTGCGTTGATGAAGTAATTTCGTATATGCGCATGATGGAAAGTTATCTGGGAGAAGAGCAAGAATGCGAGAATGGTTGTTACGTCACTCGCATGATGAATAAAATGTGATGATCTTTAGTGAACTATGCTTTGTAAGAAACCAACCAAGAGCACCAAAACAGTGAAAGAAAAGACAGGACAATTGCTGGACTTACAACTAAATATTATATAATAAAAACCCCCACAGGCATGAATCCTTAGTGCATGCGTATATGGGCTTTCTGGGCCTAGGACGTTGCGTATTTAAGAATACAAAGCCATGAATTAAGCATGTCAGACTGTCGTGCAAAGAGCGCATTTACACAAAACGCCAAAATATTGACGCCACATGCACCTCCTGACCAAAATTAAAGGTTCGCATCACGTATGTCACGTTGCCTTTTTTGTAATTTCGAAAGACTTCGCAAACGAGGCATGCATGCGTCGTAGACTTTGCGGAAGACTTTGCAAAGTCTAGGACGCATGCATGCCTCGTTTTGATTCGCTACTTATTTCAAGTGTATACCCATATGCTAAAAGTTCGCCTACGCAATCGACTTCAGAAATTATGAGGCCCTTCAACTAAAGCAAAGAAGCGACCAGCAATCTCGAAACGTTCGATGGTCGTAAAAACCGGAACAGACGGACAGTGACAGCGTGACAGGAGCCCACGATCATACACACCTCACCGGCAGGACACCATCCGCGTGCGCACAAACTTCGCGGACAACACACGCGCCAGGAAGCCACAGCCTTTCCTGTGGATAAACAACTCAACTCGTGCTCCTAGGTAGTACCTAGGCCCAGAGAGGTCTTCAAGAAGTTACCCGGATGGATTCCGTGTGAAAAGGAAAGGCTTGTAGTCTAGCCCGGCCGTGGTCCTCGTCAGGCGGCGCTGCGAAAAACGCCGCTACCAGTACTCCAATCGACGTGCCGGCCCATAAATCGGTAGTACAATGAGAACCGTTCACACACTAACGTGCATAGATCCTCCTTTTTTGTTGGTGTTGTGGCGCGGTTTCCTGAAAATCAAGGAGCTGGCAAGCTTATTCCGTCAATCCAACATCACTTCAGAAAAGTGGGGAGCTCATCAAAGTGAACTGCGGGGACCATCCAAAAGATGTTTACCTTAATTCAGCGCGCTGCAACTCGCAATTTCAGTGCAAGTGAGCATCATATGAAATTGAGTTCGATGCAAGCACTCCAATGTGTGTTATGTAACATCTACATGCGCTAAATTTGGGCATACAAATAATGCCAAAGAAATTCACTGCATACGCGAGCAATGCATCTTACGATCAGTGGTGCGAAGCTAGCAATTCATTGGGTAAATATGGGCCCGGCGATTATCACGTTTGCGGTTGCATTCTCCATCCATCTCTCGCTTCCTGTGCATTGGACTGTTTTATTACGCATCCTAGAATGTTCTGTTGATGGTTTTCTTCCGTTTATATACACTATTAATGGGACTATATGCGTGTCCACTTTCTCGGTGTACAACGAAAGGTAAAATCAAGGCCTCCGATATGGCTACGGCAACCAGGAAAACCAACGTCAAAAAAAGCTTATTGTGATCACGATAAACATTTTATGGTTCACTTGCATGATGTGCTGTTAGCATTTGTTAAAGTCGGAACTTAAAGGCTTCAAAGCTAGTATACGTGCGCGATGCTGTGTGGTGGCGACCACTTCAGATTATCGGTGCTCGCGCGCGTCTCCAATATACTGTTGCACGGCGCCCACCACTTTCAGAGGCTCTGTTGAGCTTCATATTCTATGTTACCACGGTTATCCGTCGAGGTTATTAAAAAATAACAGCAGACCTATATTATCACACTTGCTCGTACGACCGGCTGTGGAGAACGCGAGTAATTCGCCTACGCAACACGTTCGCAACGACCCGTATCCAGCGCTCTCGCAGTTGTGCTTCGCGAAAGCTATACGGAAATCGGTAAAATTGAAGTTCTTTACGCCTTTGGCATTTTTCAACGCAACAGTAGCGTCGACTGATGGTATTTTTTTGTAGAGACCTGAGCCGTTGCATCCGCTTTTGTTTTCGCTGCAGTTCACGCGAGTGAACCAGCAAGCACTTCATGGTGGTTCATCGACACGTTCGACTAGCGGAGAAAAATTCGTAGCTCTTTTTGTGAGTGTTGAAAACGCCAACACACGAGTGACGTATCTGGCGGTCAATCCGGTGCCTTTTAGGGTGCAATTAGGGGGACAAACAGACAAACTTACAGACAGACAGATGAACCAAAATTTTTGCGTTGAAGGTCCCCAAGAAAGACTATCGTCTTTTAAAACCCCAGAAGAAAGAATCCGGCACGTGGAATCGAACGTGAGACCTCCACGTAGTGAATGCGAGGCGCTGATCACTGAGCCACCGAGAGGTACCTGCTTCACTGTTCAAACATAAACATACATAAAGAGCGGACACTCCAGTATGGCCCTGCGGCTCAGCGCTATGAGTGGCTGGTCAGACCCGATAGTGTCTTTTGCATAAATGAAGTAAGAAAAAAATTATTTTCCGATGCTAGGCTTTAAACCCGCACCCTCATGCTCCAAAAACCAGTGTCTTTACCATTAGACTGCACACCCGTCCATGCATGAAAGAAATACATCTACAGCACATCTAAAGTACATGAATTTGTACCCTTTTTTGCAAAATGAATGGAGAAAAACAACACTTTCCAGTCCAACTTTTTCGGTAAAGAATTAAACGTCCTCAGCGGGGCACGTTGTAAAGCGGATGTGAAAAATTGCACAAATCAATAAAGTTTCTTTGAAAAAAATTGTAGCCAAACTTATGTATTAATTGACCTCCTGAGGCGGCTATTGTATGCCGTGACAGACGAGTGAAAGCGAGCATGGGCGGGCCATCTAGCGGTTGGTCAGAGGCTATTTTGCTGAGACGCGAAGAGGCTAGAGTGGCCACTCTCTATATAGGAAGTTTCTCTGTAATTCAAACAGCAAGCTATTCATATCTACCACTTACCGCTGTTGGCGGCCATCTCGAGGGAAAAGAATTGTGTTTTCAGTATTATCAGCATGATGGCGCCTCTCAATATAGGAAGTTTCTCTATAATTCAAACAGCAAGCTATTCATATCTACCACTTACCGCTGTTGGCGGCCATCTCGAGGGAAAAAAATTGTGTTTTCAGTATTATCAGCATGATGGCGCAGTGAGCACGCGGCGGCTCTCATCGCACGCGCACTTTGGCCCGCGTAGAGAACAAGGGCGTGTACGCTCGATCGCGCACCCTTATCTTGCAGGGGGGAGAATCGTACGCCTTGGCTAGCCTTTCGATTTCATCAAAATGATTCTATTTTAGTTACCGGGCGCACAAAGATCACTGCAAGCGTTACACAGCCTCCATTTGCGAAAAGGGCATGCTTTTCAGACACTGCAAAGTAACAACTGAGACGGTTATTCACGTTAATCTGCACCTGTGAGTACGTTTTGTGCGTACTTAGTGCGTGAGAAACGCGGGGCACGTTTCGATCTGCTTGCGATTCTGCGTGTGATCTTCCCATTTGTTGCAGTCACGTTCATTGCTTCGCATTTTGCGGCAAAGCAGTGACATAATATTAGTATTATGCATATATATAGTGAAAAAGCAGTCACTGCTTTGCTGCAATATATATATATATATATATATATATATATATTGTAATGACGAAAACCGAAACTGGAACTCTCTCTGGCACAGACTCGCATGCTAGGAAGGAAGAGGAGGAAGACGAAGCAGAATAAGAACAGCCGGCCTGCAGCAAAGGCGTTGTGTCTTATTTCTCGTCCTTACAATGGCGCAGTCGACGAAGAAAACGGCTTACGTCTCGGTTTCGTCATCCAGAACGCCCGCCGACGTGCAGCCGCGGTAAGCGTCGCTTGAGGACGGCGTCAAGCCCTCCTCGGCAGCTGTTTACTGACACCACCGTTCGGGGACGGCGTCAAGGCCTCCTCGCCGTCACGCTTCTTCGCTGATGGGACCCGCAAGGCGTCCGTCGCGGCCAGCATCGATCCCAGCACCGACGGATGGCGTCCAGGCCTCCGTTGTGGTTCCGGGAAACTTGTCCTGGGACGCGACACGTCGCG